ACTGGATAGATGAGACCCCAGTCCAGCAGCTGGTCTATTTGTCGATCCACCTCTGCTCTGAGCTTCATCGGAATCTTGTACGGATAAGGTCCGCCTGGGCTCTGTCCCCGCAACGATCCCGATCTTGTGCGAACCCACCTTACACTGTCCTGGCTTATCAGAAAACACGCCACTAAATTCCGCCCGCAAGCTGGTTAGGTCTTTGTGTTGCTTCTCAGTCAGGCGTGCCGCACGATTAATTTGAGGCTCATCATTGGCCCCGCCGGACTCTCGCGCAGGGACGTACTCCAGTGCGCCGAACGCATCGTCAGCGTCAAAGACAACGCCCACTGCATTCATCCTAACGTAGTACCGCCTTAGTTTGTTCGCGTGTACAAGCCGCTCCCTTCCATCCGGCAGCTTCACAACATAACTGTGCTCTCTGACCCGCTGTTCGATCTTTACCGGACCGATCCACTTTCCTTTTAACTTACCGCTAGAGTCCTTCTCTAGGATCAGCGCTAGGTCTCCTACTGCAAAGGACTTGTCCCTGGCTCTCAAGTTGTACCGTGCCGCGTAAGCCTGCTGGTTTACCGCGGTATTATCCTGCGCCAGATCAGCGGATTCTTTCATCCTTTTTCTAAGCTGCAGGAGGTACGACTCAGTGGACGAGTTAAGTCCTACGGGAGCCGCCCATTCTCCGGTCCAGTGCTTACTCAGTAGGGTGAGTGGACCGCTTGGACTTCTGCCGAACATCATTTCGAACGGTGACACGCCTGTCGTTTCATTGGGTACCTCATGATACGCCCACAATAGACATGGAACGTACTTGTCCCATTGCCCTCTGTGATCCTGAATTACATGACGCAGCATGGCTTTGAAAGTCCCATTCCACCTCTCAACTAGACCGTTGCTCTGGGGGTGATCTGGAGTCGAGAACCGCATCTCCACCCCCAGCCGCTCTGTAAGCAGTCGCGTCAGTTTTGCCACAAAGTTTGTGCCCTGATCCGAGCAGATTAGCTGTGGCGTTCCGAATCTGGCGAACACACCCACCAATGCGTCACATGTTGCTTGCGCCGTTAATGATCTCAGGCAGACTACCTCGGCCCACCTCGTACACAGGTCGACTATGCAAAGCGCGTACCGGTGACCCCTTGCCGAAGGAGGGTCAAGCGGCCCGATGCAATCTATGAAGATTGTTTGAAATGGTAGCTCAGGCCGCGAGAGCGGTGTGATCGGCACTCTATCCAGTACGTTTGCCCTCGACTGTACCTGGCACGCATGGCACGACTGGCAGTGTTTCCTGACATCTTGAGCCATCGTTGGCCAAAAGAACGCGCCCTTTATTCTCTTCTTCGTCTTCTTCTGCGAAAAGTGCCCTCCCCACGGGGAGTCATGCGCCAGCTCGAGCACCTTTTCGCGCCTGGACGCCGGCAACACAACCTGCTCACAAGGTCGGCCATCAACGTCATCTTTGTGATACAGGAGCCCCTCGCGCACAACCATGCCGTGTGTCCCGTTCTCAGCCTCCTTCCAGGCATCCCTGAGTGATTCGTCGTTGAGCTGCTCTCTGCGGAATTCTGTTACGCTTGTACCCTCTCCTGCATCAGCCGGACTCGCCACGAACTGCACCTCGGCCTGAATTTCGTTCTCCTCAAAGTCTACTGGCTCACCCCCGAGCCCCTCGGGCAGGTCGGGGCCCAGATCACCGGCTTCAGCTTCAAACTCGGTTTTCGCCCTGAGGAGTTCATCGTACACGTCGGGTGTTATGAGCGCGTCAATTCCCTCAGCCAGCTCCTCTGTTACCGCGCACAGGGTTATAACCTGTGGTCCGGTGTCGTACTCGTCACAGTCGGCCCGCAGCGGCACGTACATCAAGTCAGCTGTTATTGACTGACCGAAGGCTCCGCGGAGAACAATGGGTCCCGAAGTTTCAAGGCTCCCACTTTGGATCACACTCCGCCTGATCACCGTGATATCCGCCCCCGAATCCAACCTCCCCTGGAATTTGTTATGCTCGGATACCAACGGGACCAATTGGACTCGTGACCCAATAGAAGTGTTTGTCGCGATGTCCCTATCGTTTGCCATCACCCTCCGTAGCTGTTCCTTGCGATCGCGCCCTACACCAGCAACGGTACCGCCTTTAGAGACCTTATCCTTAGGCTTCGGGCAGTTGGCCCAAATGTGCCCCAACTTCCCACATCCGAAGCAGCTTCTTTTCTCTGTACCAGAAGCCACGCCTTTATCTTTCAGACTCGGTTTGTTCCCCTCGCGATTTGGGAAAGGTGGCCCCTGTTTAGCCCTCGATTCCTTCTGCGTTCGTTCATAGTTTACCGCAAGTTTGGCCACTTCTGCGGGCGGTAACCATTTTCCCTTTTCGCTCAGGTCGACATATGCTCTCGTGTCTCGGTGCATCGTGCGCTTTAGCTGATCAGCTATCAGCAGCTGCCTCAGCATCTCCATAGATGTCACCTCGCTACTTTTCAAATAATAACCAAGAAAATCGCCCAGGCGAGATGCAAACTGTCCCCAGGACTCCTTTTCGTCCTTTCTAGTTTTGTAAAACAGCTCCCGATACTCCGCTGGAGCAAGCTGAAGCTCCTCAAGCATCGCTCCTTTTAAGTCGTCGTACGACGGCATCGCGTCAGCAGCGATTCGGTTTGCGACCGATCTCATTCTCTCCGTGAGGAAGGGGAGGATCATTGCGCCCCTGATGCTTTCCGGCACGTGAAGGCTATTGAACATACTCTCCACCCCGGAGAACCACGAAGGCACCAACGGTTCGGACTCTGGCATGTTGGACAATACGCCCCTTACAATCCGCGAGTACCTAAGTACCTCGTCCCCCTCCGTTCGGGCAGCGCTGGCTCCCGACGTGGTGTCCTGCGCCCTGGCAAGTCTAGCCACTTCCAGCTCTAGTTTTAGCTTTTCTATCTCCATCTCCATTAGTTTCTTTCGGAGCTGCAAAGCGTTACTGTCCATATCGGACTCCCCTTCTGCCCCCAATTCACTACTGCTTTCAGACGACTGGCCTTTCTTGGTGTTTGCTCGCGTACCCAACATGACGCCCAGAGGAGAACAACAAAGGGACCTCCCACCTGGTTGTCGTGTCCGCCACGATCACGGGCCGCTGTTAGTCCCGGATAGCTGCACCAGGCTTGGCCGCTGCCGACTTGTGGCACTGTGCAGATCAGATGTCTTGAGGAGCAGCGTCTGTAGCAACAACCAGCTGCTTTTCCGTCACACCTGCGGCGGCGGTAGAACGTCTCTTTTCCGGCGAGCTCCCACGGCTCCTCGTCGCACCTGCGGCGACAGCCGGACAGTCAACGTTCTCCGATGGTCTCGTCGACCTTGCGTCGGAATTCCACGACGATTGGATGCTTGTTTCCGTATCCGTCAAGCTCTTCCAGCTCCCTGTCGCACCACCGGCGACAGACGGACACTCAGCACTTTCCGGCGATCTCGTTGGCCTTCTTCGCAACCCTGGCGACGGCCTGACGTCTTGTGTCCGGCGAGCTTCTGCGGCTCCAAATCACACCTCCGGTGACTGCCGGGCACTCCACGTCGTCTGGTGTTCTTGACCCCACGCCGCACTCACGGCGACGGTCGGACGTTGAGGTGTCTGCTCCCAAGGAGCTCCTGCGGCCCACTGTCACGCCTTCGGCGACAGCCAGACACTCGACGTCCTTCTAGGGTCGCAGCTTCACTTCGTCACTCCAACGGCGACGAGTCCCAGTCATTCGTCATCTTCACCTGCAAAGTTCTCGGTGTCCCTTATGATGAAGACAGCTTTCTTATCCGAAGGGCGGTGGCGGAATCCTTGCCGACTGCGCCAGTTAATGTCCTCTCCTCCTCTCTCTCTTGCTGGTGTCGTTGAGAGAGGCTGATGTTCTTTGTCGGGTTGCCGCCGATATGATGATGGCAACCCCCAATTCCGCCTTGGCCAACGGAGATGTAGTCGCAGAGGGACACCCAGGTGAAGGTTACGAATATATATATATATGATTTATTTACATATATAGTTACGGACTGGGTTACAGATCTTAGGAGCTACGCGAGACCTCTCGGAGTCCTGGTGGCGTCGTGCCCCCTCCGATGCTCAGCGTAAACTGCCTTCCTCTTTCCCGCGCGCCCCCAAAATTCCAGGGATCGTCCCCACTTTCCCGGGCGTCTGGTCAGCATCGCTTGTCACCTCGCCGGGTCGCTCCGCACCCCCCGCCGTGTCGTTCCGACCCGGCGGTTCTTCTCGCCGACTCCCCACATTTCCAACCCTGGTGCCCGAGATTCGGGTTACTTCGGAATTCGTTAATTGCCGTCGCGTCCGGGACTCGTAAACCATTGCGGGCCCCCTGTTTTCCTTTGAGCCCGTCACCAAAAAAAACCATACAAGAATATATATATACAGAACACAGTTTCCCCGAAAGTCCTGGGACCTAACATATGAGAGTGAATAAACAATGTTCGGATTCAGCAAGACTTATAAATCAACTTAATTAGGTATAGGTGGGCACCTTTATAGGTCTAATTTTGCTGCCAAATACGTCGTTTACCTGCCATCCCAGTTGACACCGGACTTTCCGAGGTTCCATAAATATAGTTAGATTAAAATTAATCTAGCATATAAACAGACAAGTGGAAGCTTGGGAACAACCTTCACGAGTTCAGCTGGATTTTCGTTTAAGCATGGTGCAACAATAGTAAAATAGGCTCGGAGATATGGTATGGCAACCCAGAAGCGAAGGCAAAAACGGGACGGACAACAAAAAAGCTCCAATTTTGGAGCTTCGTGTTTGTTCGTCCCGTTTTTTTCCTTCGTTTCACGGTTACCATGACAGTATTAAACCGGCTTGCCTGTACACTTGTCTTCGGTTTCAGTATTCGATTCGAAAATAGTCGGCCAAAACCACTGTTCGCTTTCGGAATTCGCATCTAATTCAAAATTCACTATACTCCCATGAATAACGTACAAGCAGTGTGATTGAGGTTTGAGTGGCGCGGAGAATCGAAAGTGTGTATACCTGCGTTTACGCGCGGCAGGCGCGTCGAGGGGCGTGATTGGTGAGTGGACCCGAGCCGCCTTTATTTCGTCCAATCATAGTCGACGACGGGCGTGGCCACCGGACGACGTCATCGGGAAGCGTTTGCCCTGGAATCCTGCGATCGAAAGCAAACCAAAAACAGAGAGAACACTGAGAAACAGTTACACCTAACATCTCGACAAAACAAAAATATCCCAAGCAATTGATCACGGTGAAGAATCGAAGGATCTTATCAAACAACGAAGTTCACAAGACGATTAGACGTTTATAAAATACGATGTGCACGGATACAAGGGAATGACTCTTTACTTGCTCACAGGTCCCTACGCACAGAACTTTTTTTCTTTTTTTTTTTTTTCATGTATACCGTAGGGCGAATCGTTCCCCGGATATATACTTTTTTTACCAAATGTTTGCTGTCACTAAAAACCAAATATTTCTTTCTTTAAAAAGGGTGACCTTAGGAACGTTAGAAAGGAGGGGGCGGGGAGGGGGGGGGGGGGGGCGTAAACCATAAATTCGCCCCAGCTCGGGACTACCACAACCGCGTTCCAAGCATTTACTCCATCTCACAAGCGTTTACTCCATCTCACAAATGTCTGCAGTAAATACGAAGGCACGCGCCTTCTACGCACGAGAACTCGTGCGTCCAAAGCACGGTTACAGTGTAGCACGGTGGTCCAAAGCCACGCGCTCGTGCCCGTGCCTCTGTCTACACTGCAGACGTTCGTGAGATGGAGTGTAGACGTTTGCTGGCCACACTTGGAGAGCAGCACTCTACTCGCCCGTTGGCCTTGAGGAGAAATCGAGCGCCTCCATTGTCTATTGTCCATCCGCTCTTCATTCGAGTGAATTTCCCTTTCTTGCCCGTTGCACGCACACAAAGAGCGGCCCGCAAGTCCATTGTGCGCGACTCCTTTTTCTTTCCGTTTGCGTGTTATTCTTGTTGCCCATGGTGAGGTTACTTGACAGTTGCGGCTGTTCTTCACTAAATACACGCCATGCTCCGTTTCGCCTAATACGATGGACCGCGACAGACACCACGCGGACCATCCCAGCCAATCCAAAGCCACGAACGTGTCATGTGTGGCCACCTCCCCTCCCGGCCCCCCGGTTCAGGAAATCTGGGGTGAGAACTAGGTTGGGTTGTACACATTCTACTCCGGAAGCAACTTCGTACCGTCACTCGTTACTTTATAGATAAAAAAAGTAACGAAAATGCGTTACTCGTTCCTTTGCTTCAAAATAATTGGGTCGTTATACCTCGTTACTCCCTAAAAAAAGGAATAAATACAAGAACGCGTTACGTATACAAGTATGGCTTCACCAGTTCCGAAGGTGACGTCACACTCGACAGGAACTGAAAATTGGCCTCGTTGGCTCGTAGCCTTCGGTGCGGTTCGTCATCGCGTAAGGTAAAACGGGGGATATACGAGCGAATATCAAGGGCGACACGCAACATGGGACGCCGAGTTTGCCAATCGATCGACCCTGCGTTGTATACGCCCGATCCGAATGCCATCGATCCCGGTCGCTTATTTTCGCATCGTGTTTCGAGAAATATAGGACTTTGCAGATAGGGCTGTCGTTCCATGTAAGGATGGAGATTGGTTAGAGTGTTCGGAATGAGACATATGCGAACATGGTATGGTCCTATATGGACCCCGTTAAAATGAATAGGCACAACTATTTCCGGGACGAACTGGGTAAAGTCTCGCACATTTTTGTCTTATAGTTATAGAAGAATCACATTATGAACGATATTTTGAAGAAAAAAATACAAATATAGTTATTTATTGAGTTAGTTAGGTAGTTTGTTCGTTTGTTAGCTAGCTAGTTAGCTAGTTTGTTTGTTTGTTAACTAGTCAGTTAGTTCATTTGTTTCTTTGCTTGTGTATTTGTTTGTTTGGTTGTTTTTGCGGCGGCGGCGACGGCAATACAGTTGTGTTTCGTGCGAAGTTAGCGTGTCCGGACAAGGAATTAGCTCTCGATGGAGACGTATTGCCTGTCTGAGCAGCAGGTCCGGCTCGTAGCCAAGTAACTGCAATGCGGTGCGAAACGAGAAATCGTGTTCACCTTCACACGAGGTTCCTCGGCTTCCATCGCAATTATAACTGTTTAAAAAATCGATACATTGTCTACTACCGGTGACCTTGGCAACTCAGCTGTACTGCTGGAGGAAATATATGGACGGTTGCGTTTCTTAGCCTCACGACTAGTATTCGACAAAAAAGCATTTTGATTTTTTTTTTATATAAAAGCATTAGAACTTGCAATTACAGAATTGTCTCTGTACGTCCGTCCGTCCATCCGTCCGTGAATTTCCCGCTAAATTTAGCGGGGAAAATGAACTGGTGTTTAGGTTATGTGGTGTCGATTGATGTCACGTAACCTGACGTCACGTGACCCATACACTAAATAACGTTCGACTCTTGAAAGCAAAACAAAAAGTTGTATTGCTTTTGAAACAGTGCTCAGCGGCGCTGTCTAACGGTACGTACTCAAATTAAAGCTTCTATGCACGTTCACCTTTCCTGCAGAACACATAGGTAGCCAGTCATTGCGACCAACGGAAGACTCCCGGTGAATGACGGAGCTCAGGGTACAATATTAGACCAGAAAAAAAAGGGCGATGTGAGCATGGTAAGGGTCACTGGGCGCATTGTAGTTCTTTTCAAGCTCAATCGTATTCTGACCTTCGTCGTTCACTAGGATCGCTCCGTCGTTCGCGTTGATTAAAGCCCCCAAGTAAACAACGCGACGACACTTAAGCCACTTTGGTGCCTGATATTATCGTCGCCAGTTATCTGAAGCTTTATCCGAAAACAACATCTTTAGACTTTACTGCGTGTTGTTCATTCTTTTGTTTCCCCTCAAGTCTCGGGTTTTTAAGATGTCAAGAGTTCGCCAGCTCGCCCGCTTATTCTCTGCCATTTTTTTTTTTTTTTTTCTGTCTGAAATCACGAGAAACTGTATTTTCTTCGTCCAGGGGCCCTGATCTAAACGTCGTGCTGCGATTTGTCGACGGTACGCGGAGCTGGCCAAACACAGCAAGGTGATCTGAGCTTCCTGTCGCCGTCTCTGTGAAGCTTAGAAGACGCATTTTCGAGTCGTACATAGATCGCCGGTAGAACGATCTCACTGAGCGTTCCACGCATGAGTGACGCGGCCATAACTGTAGTCATAGCCTTTTATATACTGGCAAAGCCTGGCAGATCGCCACGAGAAGCGGCCGCCGAAATGGAATAGGTGGAGCGGCAGACAACGGATGAGAGGAGAGCCACGTGACTGGCGCCCCGCTGCGGCGAGGCGCCGAAACACACTTCTCTCGAGCGAACACGTGTGTTTCGGGTCCTCGCCGCGGTTGAAGCTGTGCGCTGGCGTCCAGGTTCCCAGAGAAATGGCTCTTTGATGCACTGTACTACCAGATCCTCCCGCTCCAAATCTACGACCGGGCACTCTATGGCTTTGTCGTCGAACTGCCAGGCTTTGTGAAGCTATGCTACAGTCGTCACTATGCATGGCGGCAGCGGTGGCGTAAGAAAACTGGCTGTGAGATCGGTTTACTGTGCCAAAAATGGAGGCGCCTGCTTGAAGATCGGGCAATTGAATGCCGATTAGACAGAATTTGGTGACCATCGAGCTTCCTTCGACCTTGGACCTTCGACAATCAATCAGTCAATCAATATATTCCTTCTCACCCGCTACGCACACACGTTCGTTCTGTGCAAGCTTCGTTCGGAGCAACATGCTCGTGCTCGTAGCTTTGGGTTGGCTCGCACATAAAGCAAAACAAACTACAAAATTCCGTTATATCCCCCCCCCCCCCCCTTTTCCGTTTCAATCTGGATGACCATCGTGCGGGAGTGTAGCAAATGTGCCAGCGTGATGCACGTTTAAAGACCCCAGACTAGCAGTTGTACTGTACTGGCTAAACTCCTCATCTACAGCTGAGACACCTGACGCTAATTGGGGATGACTAACTTCCGGCCGTGTAAACATACATCACACAATTAACTATAAAACTCCATTGGCTGCTGGTGCCTTCATGCGCGCTTTGCTAACACTCGGGTACAAGTATTTCCTGCATTTCCGGAGTGAAGACCGCACGATAGCACAGCTGTGATCGGCGCTCAATGTGCGCCGATCACAACTTGGGAATGAAACCTTTCTTGGGAATGAAACCTTTCGTTTCATTCCCAAGAAAAGTTGCGTCCCCAAGTACAGGGGTGATGACATCTGACCGTTTGGTTCAAATCGCTCTTGTTTCTTTTTTGCCCCGTAGCGCGTGCAAAAATCTCGGCACGAACTGTCAGGCGTCGACAGTGCTATTCGGCGTCGTTTTTTTTTTTTTTTTGAGAGAGCGCGCGCTCTCGGGATTGGGTGCTACAAGGGACGGCATAAGAATGAACAGAAGGACATTGAGGCACCCGAGGCTGCTCCAGAAGACGGCCGTATCCGCAAGTACCATCAAAATTATTTCACTTTTCTCTGTCTCTTTGTTTTGAAGTTAAACGGAAAGGCGAGAAGAAAAAAGTGCGGGGGACGACATGAGCAGACAACCACGCCACGACCTTCAATGTTTTCTGCGTGGCCGTATTTCTTCCTCTCCCTCTCGCCTACCTATGAGTCACGTGACAACAAGGATTGCCCGATTACTTTTTTTCTTTTCCATTTTTTTTTTCTTTCTTTCTTGGCGCCGTGCGCAGGTTGTCTACGCGGGTGGCGACCCGCGTGATTACAGCGTGTTGGTTGCACGCTCCGTTTTCGGCTTACAATGGACCGCCGAGGGCCCCATCCCCAGCTAATCCCCAGAAGCTCAAACGCTGGGAACGAATCATGCGTAATAATCTTCAAAAAAGAATTTACGTTTTTTTTTTGTTCGTTTTTGTTCTTATGTGCCATTTGTGAGTAGCAGCGTCAAGCAAGCGGTTTTTACCGTTTTCCTCCCTGCTCATAAAAAAAAAAAAAAAAAGAAACAGTACTTTTGGAGTTTCTTTGTTGTTGTTTTTTTGCCTAAAAGTTAAACCTACAAACGCCCGACCTAAAGACAGCTTTGAGAACATTATTTTAATGCACTCTGTTCGTTGGTTTACTTATACAAATTCCCTTACG